CACTGTGAGACAATCCCATTATCTTTTAAATAATCAAGAAACTCATTAGTCAAATATTCACCTCCTCGATCTGATCGAAGAACTTTAATATTTCTACCAATTTGTTTCTCCACTTCATTTCTGAATTCTTTGAACTTTTCAAATACTTCAGATTTGTACCTCAATAGGTAAACATAACCATACCGTGAATAATCATCAGTGAAGGTTATGAAATAGTGATAGTTCCCCATTGCACTAACGTTTAGTGGTCCACAAACATCTGTATGGATCAAATCCAACAAACCTTTAGCTCGCTCCACTTGTCCAACAAATGGTGATTTAGTCATTTTACCTTTAAGACATGACTCACATGTAGGCAACCTATCCTCTCCCCTAAGGTCGAGTTTAGGTCCCAATTTGTGAATCCGTTTTTCGGATATATGACCTAATCTAGCATGCCAAATTGTGAATGAACTATGATTATCTAATTTCCTTTTATTTTGTTGAATGGTTAGGATGGGACTTTGTGGTGTAATGGTATACAACCCATTTGTCAAATTTCCAGAATAAATAAAAGTTGTGTCTTTGAAAATAGAACATTTTCCATTTTCAATGACAAACTTAAAACCTTCCTTATCCAATATTGGAATAGAAATAATGTTTTTTATTAAATCCGGAACATACAAACAGTTTGATAGACAAATCTTTACATCATTATTCAATGCTAGATAAACAGTCCCAATAGCTTTAGCAGCAACTCTTGCCCCATTGCCCATCCTTAGGATTGTTTCTTCACCATCTAGCATATTACTTCTTGCCATCATCTGCAAATCATTGCAAATATGTGAGCCACAGCCGGTATCCAATACCCAAGAAGAATCGTTAACAGACAAGTTAACTTCAACAAAATAAATACCTGAACTTTTCAGACTAGCAAGATACTCCTTGCAGTTCCTCTTCCAGTGCCCAGTTTTGCCACAATGAAAACATTCATGATCGGCCTGAGAATTAACCTTCTGTTTGTTCTTCCCTTTATCATTATATGCCTTCTTGTTGGGCTTATTGGGAACCTTTCCCTTCCTCTTCCTTTTCTTAGACTTAGTAGCCTTTGATCCGGAAGTGGATCCAACAAGAAGTACCGGCTTGTCCTTTTTAATGGTGGACTCAGCCGTCTTCAACATGTTTAATAATCCTGGAAGATCAGTTTCCATATTATGCATGTTGTAGTTAACGACAAAGTTATCGAATGACGCTGGCAGAGATTGCAACAATAAATCCACATAGAGTTCATTATCCATAATGACTCCAAGTGATTCGAGTCTTTCCACAAGAGCTATCATCTTCAGTCCATGATCATGAACTGAAGAGCCCTCGGTCATACGACACCTGAAAAGCTCTTTAGATATCTGATATCTAATTTGTCGCGTCCGATCACCATACAACTCTTGCAGGTGAGTTAGGATTTCAGAAGCATTATTCAGTAATTCGTTCTGTCTCTGTAGCTCATTAGACATTGATGCTAGCATGTAGCACCGAGCTTGGAGATTGTCATCAACATGACGCAAGTAGGCTCCATACTCTTCAGCAGTCTGATCCTCCGGTGGAGGAGGAGGAGCTGTTTCCAAAACATACTCTCGCTTCTCAGACTGAAGAACAATCTTTAGGTTCCTCAACCAATCATTGAAGTTGGGACCAGTTAATTTATTATGATCAAGGATACTCGCGATTGGATTCTTAGCCATTTTAGTAGTTTGATCTACAAAAATAACAAACGAAGCAGAAAATAATTAGACTATGGAATTTATATTCATTTAATATTAGGTCTTTAACATTAAATGTCTCCCACTAATTTAATTAGAACCTCATTATAATTATGAAAATCATTATTTTCATAGTGGGCTTGAAGTCCAATAAAAATATTTCATGTCCCAATTTTATGATGCCACCATGAAACAATTTTATCGGTAGTCAACTTTTTGACAATTGTATCTCTATACAACCTTCAAGATGTTTTGCCTCACCTTTCCTTATATACCTCAATTTTATGACTCCATATATATTACTCGGTGTCAAATCAAACCCATCAAAACTTTCATGATAACGGCCCACCAGAGTGTCCCACGACTCATGGCCAACACAAAGAGGAATCCGTCTCACGAATATCAATATATTTAATAGAGTTCACAGCTTTCGACATAGAATCATCCCACGACTCGTGGCCAATGATAAAACATCGTAGCATCTCATGTCATCTACTTTTGATGGAAGGCCTGGATTAATAAGTTCCAACTTATTTTTATCCATTATTGATTTGATATGGAATTAATCAAATTAATCCGTTTGGGTTCCTTGATCTCATCGATTACCATCTTTACGTTTATTTACCAGTTTCAGTCATCTAATGAAACGAAAGCGTAAATAAACCTAACATACATCTAATGCATGGTGGGATGATCATGTCCTTTCCTATTCGATCCATTCGAGCCAAAATGGATCTATGCATATGTACGTGATAAAACAAATAGTAGAACTACTTCTATTACATTTATTCTATCTACCCGTACAAGCACAGGCCTTCGAGATTACAACTTGTAAAATTACCCACACATGCGTGGGCCTTTGTCATCGAACGGTCTCCACCTTGATCTAATCTCTAACGATACAAAATTTAAAATTTTACAAATTTCATCTCAAGAGACTCGCAGGTCTCGATAAATTACATTTCTTCAATCATATTGAAAACATAATTAAACATCCATTCATTCATTCAATCATATTGAAAATGAAAACATCCATTCAAACATAATGAATATGAGGCTCATGATCATCCCTAAAACATTCATCTAATGAAATGAACATAAAATATCAATTTATGAGTCACACGACTCGTGTGAGGGTCACACGACCCGTGTGATCTTATCACACGACTCGTGTGAAAAATACGAATTGAAAATCAAAATTTTTCCCAGACTCACACGACTCGTGTGGCTCGTCACACGACTCGTGTGAGCTCACACGACTCGTGTGACAAGGTCACACGACTCGTGTGAAAATCACGAAGCTAAAATCAAAATTTTTCTTCATGCCACACGACTCGTGTGACAAGGTCACACGACTCGTGTGGCTTAAAAACGATTTTTAATTTTATAATTAATATTTTTATCATATAAAAAATTAATTATATTGCTTATCTCATAAGTCTTAACAAATCAAAATCTGTTTTAAAGACGATAACCGTGGCTCTGATACCACTGTTGGGTTCGATAGTACCGTACGGGCTGTACGCAGCGGAATTTAAAATTTTTAAAGTAAGTATTTATCGTATAAATACAACACCCGTACATACTAATTGCGAATTAACTGATCGTCATCTTTAAAACATGCATCATATACAAATTTTGATTTGTTACTATAAAGTAAATACTAGTAAAAATATTTACCGAATGTCTTGAACTCCTTCACTATTGATGATGGATGAGGGAATCGGTTCCCGGTTGTAACTTCAACGACTTGAGGTTACTCGCTAGAGGAATCCAAGTGTCTTCCCTCTAAACGTATCCACCCTATGAAGCCCGGTTCCGACGACTTTCCTTCGCTAGTAGAAAAGACTCGGTTTTCTTGTATAGGAATATTTATGAATTTTATTTGGGAATTTTAAGAACTCTTTCTTGAAGTTTTATGAAGAACACTTTCTTCTCTTTCTAACACTTAGAAATTTAGGATCAAAAACTTCACTTAAATGCAAAACCATTTTGCACATATTTATACTAAACATTTTAGCATAAAATAATCAACATTTAGTAATATTAAATAAAATCAAATTTTATTTAAATAGTATTTACTAACTTTTGACTTTGAAAATAATAAGATATGTTAAGTAGTTCAAACAACCATCAACAACCATTTTATTATAATCATATTTATTATTTTAATCCTTAAATCATATTTAAAGATATAAATAATAATTGGATAATAAATCTTGAGAATCTTTCTCAAGACTTTATTATTATATCATTTTCCCAATATTATAATAATCATATTATTATTATTTTGGATTTTTGAAATTTAAAATCCTATTTTAAAATTCAACTTTATTAATTTAGTAATTACCTTAATTACTAAAGTAATATCCAAAATGTAATTAATCAATCTTATTGATTAATATATTCCTTTAATTGATATCTAATCAAATTAGATATTTATCAATTAATTCTAACCATTAGAAATACAATCTTTACCTTTGTTCATAATTAGTGTGACCTTTTAGGTTCACCTTAATACTAGTAGTGGGTTTACAACACTTTGTAATTTGAGTTAAATCTTATTAACTCTTATTCATGAATTAACCCTTTAATTTATGAACCCACATATCATGGTAACACCTAGCAAGTAGCATGAATCTAGTATTAAGTGAATAGCGAGTAAACCTATTCCGATTACAACTCCATACATGTAAAATCCTTTCGACATCTAATTTCCCGATTAAGTCTTGGGTATGATTTTGTCGAAACCCAAATTGACTTAATAACTATGATTCTATTTCATGTTTATTAACCCGGTTATGAATCACTATTCATCTCTGCCTTGGCCAAGGACTTTGGATTAATAACTATGAAACACATAGGAAATTCACTTATCTTCATAAGTGTCGAATCCTTTATTGGCCACTAACAAACTTCCATACATATTAACATAATACCCAACTTATCCCTTTAAACGATAGTGCTAGCTACCAAAAGGATAAATCAAAGTAGAATGTAATATGCACAAAGTTACCATTGTGCCTCAAGTCTTAGGATTAGTCATGTACTATTGTAACATGAAAATTCTTATTCGACTGAATAAATTCTTCATTAAGAATTTTCATACGGTCATGTTCAGTGAACTTGTTCTCTAACAAGCACCCACATAAATGTACTTACGTCTTACGCTAATGTTGATGGAATGCAACATTCTTGTCCAACAAGCATACAAACTATGTGCAAGTCTTTTATGGATTATTCGATATCCCATCTCGAAACATCCATCGACTTGGAACTGTATTTAAGATCACGGCTTTCAAGGTATGTTCCATGATCACCATCTCTATGCGCAACCATACCTTATAACCATAAGTGATCTAGGGATTTTATCTTAAGTGCAATTATAAGATAAATGCTTTCTCTTAAGATAAAGAAATGCCTTATTTATAATATAATTCCAATAGACTGTATTTACAAGTAGAATACGTCCAATTAGATTGGAACGCCGGGTACCCTACTCTAACACATCGTGCACGCCCGCGTCCCCTGCAGCTTCTTCGCGTGCGTCCCTGGCACCTACCGCGTCTTCCATGCTCCTGCCCGATGCGCTTGTCGCGCGCGTGTCAACCCTCGTCGCCTGCGCATCGCGCCCGTGCGCCATCGCCCGTCGGCCATCGATGGCCTGTGTCTCACCCGTGCATCGCGCTAGTCTTTTGCGCACATGGTAAGCGCGACTCGAAGCGTTCTTGAGTTGCCTTTCCACATCCGCATCAGGCTGGCACGGCGCAGGCACGATCGGACACGGGGAAGATGCGGACTGAGGCTACGCGGGCGTTGGCTGGCGTCCCTGAGGGTCTGGGCACTCGGGCATGTTGCTGGGCACGTCCCGAGGCCAACTGGGCTCAACAAACACGGTTGGTCACTACTCGGTCACTGTCGGGCGACCCTGATGGCGCAGGACACTCGGGCGTGCGACTGGGCATGGACCGAGGCCTCTGAACCCAACAGACCCGACACGGGTCGGTACTGGACACAACACGAGGCTCTGGCGCGAGACCTCCTGCGCTGGGACTTGGCACAGCGCTGTCGAGTGCCATGCGCGTGGGCTGAGCACGATGGGTGCAGACACCACGCTCGCAGTCACGGACTCGCGCTGCCGGGCGCGGTCGTGTGCACTGCGGCTGCTGCGTGTCGCACCTACAGGGCGCGGGCACAGGCAGGGGTGAGACTTAGCCTCTGAAAGGCGCGGGCGGACACAGGCCGGCACTGGGCGCACGGTATGCGCGGCTAGTGATCATGACCGACCCTTTTCCGACCATTTGGCAACATTACTAGGGACATGCCACATATATCACTTCAAAATGATACAATAGGCATAAAAATGCAAGAAAATGCCATGAGACCTCGGGTCAAAATGCATGTTGTTCGGTAGGGCCTAAATGGCACGTACGAACGCTTAATCACCAAACCAACTATTTATTCTTAAACATATGATCATGGTCGAGTACTAAGCAACTAAAATCATGACTAATGAGGCTGAAATGATAGCAATAACTCGCATGCATGATGATATGGCTCAGGAGTGCAAAATGGCATAAATTCACATGCTAGATGGCCAAGGCAACAAACTCCAAACATGCTCAAACTTATACACCAACATAGACATAATATATGAGGAGGTTTAGGCTAACAATTTCAGTCAAAGCACGCATGCAACTCAATTTTCGAATTTAAGGCTATTAATTCCTTAAATTCAAAACTCATGAATTTTCACATGCATGGTTTGATTTTTCTTCATGAAAAATCCTAAAATATCATGAATAGGTTGGGGAAAAAAATAGCTCGAGCTAACCTTCACCAAAAATGGAAAACGAGTGCTAGGGCAAAGACTGGGGTCACTTGCGGCTTTGGGGGTTGTGGCTCGACTTGAGGGTGCTAATGGCTGGAAGAATGAACTCCAATGACTTATAAAAATCCAAGAAACACTTGGATGGTGTAGGCTACAAGAGAACTAGGCTGGAATGGATGGAGGTGAGGTCCTCCTTCTACCTGGGAGAAGCGCGCGCGCGTGGAGTTGGGCGGGTGAAGCTCTCGACCCTCCTCCTTTTCTCTCTATGAATATAGCTCGAATTGAATAAGTGTGGAAGATCTAATAACAGCTTAAAGGTGAGGTTTAAGTAGAGGCTAGGGCGGAGTAATTTAGGCCACAAATGGGGGGACAAACTCTTCCTCACTAACTCACATGAGCATGGGACTTTGGGTGAGTGGTCTTGCATGACTTAGTGGGCTTATGCACGGTTTTTGGAGGAGTTTCAGAGCATTATAGGGGACAAAAGAGGTCTGGTCAGGTCTGGTGCATGCATGGGAGACAAACAATCCACTAGTTCATTAAAATAATCAAAGACCCATGCTCCACTTTGCCTTAAGCTTAGTTGACTTTCTTTAAACATTTCTTAGGGCAACTTAAGTTGAATTAGCTCCTTATTAACTCCTTAACACACGCATGAAGTGGTCTTGCTTGGACTTGGGCCGAAGACTTCACAAATGGGGTCGGAATGGTGGGTTGTCGCGGACTGGCACTGGGCTGGCGCGAGGCCTACTGGGCGTGGCCTGCTGAGCGGTACGGGCTGTACAGGCTGAGCGCGCGGACTGCAGGCATGCTCGCGTGAATTCCTTGGGCCGATTGTGAAGGGCTTGCTAAGGGCTGAATATGGTGCTTCCAACACTTTGAAAAATTTTACAATGCTTGGTCATGACTTGGATGGACCTTGGGCTCGGTGGACGCACGCTTGGACGCGGCCGCGAGGTTCGGCACGAGCGGGCTTGGGGATGGCTAGGCTCGAGAATTATGTCTAAGGCTTGAACTTAGATACTTCAATATACTTAGAAGAATTATTCTAAGTATCAAGATACCAAGGCTCGGCTATGCTCGGAAATGACTCGAAAAATGACTCGGAACGAAACTAGGGTTCGAATCCAAATATTTCTAAAGCCGAATAGATATCGCTTATCAATCCAAATTAATGAATTGATCTTGGCCTTAACTTGATATATAAATTTTTCAAAGAATTGTCTATCAATCTTAGGAAGAAATTGAGCATTTAGCATATAATCATAACTCGAAATTTCTGAAAATTACGGATTTCACTTATAGTCGAGCAGTGAAACCGTTCTTAATATTATTACTGATTCGGGGCGTTACGAAAGATATACATTTTTTTATCAGTAGATTACGATCCTTTCTCTTCTGATTTTTTTTTTTTAATTTTTAATTTTTCTCTTGTACTAATTCAAATACCAATACCATTTGTTAGATTCAAATTGACGAAATCTAAATGTTTATGATAAAAATGCACAACATTTCATAACGGAACAACCGATTACGGTTGGTTAAAAATTTGAAATAGTATCAATAATCAGCTATTGGCGCTTCGTAGTTGTCGAACCAACGATTATTGTCACAGTTTGATAACTGCTGGTTTTGCGATTCGAACTGTCAATTTTCAATCAACATTCTAATGTTAAAAATTGAAAAATTCTTAGGAAACTATCTAATTTTTTAAAGGTTCAGACAGTTTTCCACCATTTACTTATTTGAACTTTGGGAAATCATTAACCTTTGATTTTTTTTTTCACTCCCCAAAATATTTTTAAAAAAAAATTCTATTCAATAACCAAACCTTCAGACGGTTCTGACACTTTGCAATATGTTACCGAACTGTCAAACCGTAATAGGAACTACTGTCAACAGTTAACCAAACTATTGATCGACGGTTAGAAAATATTTTCATATTCGATTAAAATAATTGTAGCTCAGGCAAGCATTGAATCCTGGCTACGCCCTGCCTCCAGGTCAATCCAACCGATTTATCACCATTCACCAAAATTGACATGTCGTGCTAACTGAGCCTAGCTATTTTCCGAACTATCAAGATGGCTCCATCACTCTCTACTGCATAAAGTAGTACAATGAATCATGCTTCATGCAGACCATGAGGTTGGTACATCACCACTTCGTAGAAATCTTTACCATATAATTAAGTGGTTTTGTGCAATAATTCAAAAGGTAGGCACAACATAAGACCAAGTGTATTTAGAAACTAATAAAGGAAATCACAGGTACACCATTCAACTAACACATTGAATATCATTTACATTATTAGTGCCCGATTTAGTTCCGTCGTTGTACCTATATCGCAACCTATAAAATATATTTATTCCAATTGCTACTGTTCCTATACTCCAACGATCCGGACAAAAGCCAAAAAAAGCTTCTAATGAAGATTATATTACAAGTAACAGAATTCTTTAATTTATCAAAAACTCCACAAAACTCATGTGAACTGTAATTTCTTTCAGAAAAATCAAATGCCATTTCCAATTAATTGTCAATAGAAATTAGGTATGTTAGGTTTCTGTCTCTTTCATATTTTCGTTTAATATAGAAAGAATAAGTTGACAATTCACAATCTTATGGAATTAGTTAAATTAGTTCTCAAAACTTGTAAAATCCGATTAGTCAAACTATTAAATGTGGAAAAATGATACATAACCAACCTAGTGTACAACTAGGTTGACAAAACAAGTGGAAACATCTACTTGGTATTTTTTTGTGTGTGGATGTTTTTTACTTGTGTTGTCAACTTAGTTGTACACTAGGTTGACAATATAGCATATCTCTGCATTTTAACCCACGATGTCAATTTAGTTATAATAAGAATTAAATAAAATTAAAATTCCATAATTTTTTTTTTTTCGAAACGATAGAGAGAATATATATAACCAGAAACGAGAACAAAGTTCGAATACAGACCGTGGCTAACCTAGCCAATATGCAAATCCAACTCAGAGCAAATGAGAGGACACACCATAAGGCGGCCTAGATGAACTCAACAAACTAAAACCACAGCACTAAAAAAGGAAGCAAACCTAAGAGACCACTGCATAAGGCCTAGCCTTCAGGTTTGTTCCCAAACACCCAAACTACTACATAGACGACCAAACTCCAAATATACTAAACATGACTAAAAAACAGAAAACAAGAACCATAAATACACACTTCAGCCATCCAGGGAGACTCCATTAGAGAATTATTATAAATTATTATAAATTAAGAATTATTAGAGGATTATTATAAAAATTCCATAATATGAAAAAAATTAAGAATTATTATAAATTATTGCGCACGAAACTATATATCTCTCGTTAGTCTTCTATGTTTAAAAATAGGCGAAATTTTTTATTTACACCAAGATTTTAAATATATTGCATTTATACAAGAGGTGAGATTTTATTTGCATGCATACAAATTAAAATGCATTTATTTGGGCTGAATAAAAAACTTTTGTTGCCAAAGT